AGAAAATTCCTGAAGAAAAATTTAAATATAAGTCTGTGGCTTTGTTGAATTAAGCCCCCCCAGTTAAAGATTTAGAAAACACCCATGGTTTGGGCTAATAGTATTGTTGGTGGCACCTATTGTAGCCGGATAGCTGAACAAAGTCTGTGTCTTAAACCAGTGTTAAATCCATCTCAGGGTTCAGAAGAAAACAAGGGGAGTCTAAATCACAAGTGCAGACATGTCTAGGATCCTTGTCCTTCTGGATCCACACTTCCTTCAGGGTCTTCATCATTGTAAATGTTCTCTGCCTGCCAGAGAGAGAAGACAGTTATTTCTTTTCTTCCCTCCCCCACCCCCCTGGGTTTGGAGCCTATCCTGGAACTCCCATAGATCTGCTTGCTGGGATTAAAGGTGTATGCCATTACTGCCCAGCAACAGTTATTTCTTGAAGTCTATTTCCATAATATATTATGCCAAGGTGCCTGATTACAAGGTCCCTGATAACATTTCAAATAAGGCCATATAGTTCTAACTATTCAATGCTGTTGCTGAATAAAAACAGCAGACAATGCATAGACAACATGAATCATAAACACAACAGTACAAACTTGGAGCACGTCACAGCTTCTACTATAGGGCATTTTCACAAAGTGTGACGATCTTCATTCCTGAACTCTTAAACCAGATATATTATTGGTAATAGCTAAAATATAAACCAGAGGTTTCTATGAGACCCACAGAAGTTGATGCTTATAAGCAAAGAATTTCTTTTAAAGATGACAAAAATATTCTAGTATTTTTTTTTGTGATGTGCAACTCTGGAGTAGGAAAAAAACTAACTGAATAGTAAATTTAAATGAAACTACCCAAACTTTATATGCAAATTTCAATTAATAAATGTCTTGAAAAGCTACTTTACATAACAAATACCCACCCCCAGTAGTTGATGAAATGTCTAAGTCTAAAATCAAGTGCGTGGAACCAAGAACCCAGTCACATCAACAATCACCAATACCAGACCTAACAGGCATCACCTCAGGAGGGCTGTAACCCCAAATCTGCAGGATTACCCTGTGACTTCTATCCAACATTGCTATAAAATTTGAGGGTTTAGCAAAAACTCCTTTGACTGGTTTGAAAATTTGCTATGATTCTAAAGAATGAGATTTTGATGTTTATATATTATGCATGTGATCTCTTGCTTCAGCTTTCCCAAAATCTAGGATTATAGAGCTACCATGCACCCTGCTTATTCCTGGGGTATCTATTTTGTATGTCTGTATTTAGAAAACCCAGGGACCAAATGGAAGAGATAGATATAGGAGGGAGCAGAGCGTATTACACTCTTCTAGCAAGTCAATGTGACTCCCAGAATCTGGATGCTCAAACAACCTAGAGCAAGCTAAGAGCTTAATCTCCCTTCCCGACTGGGGAGGCAGAGTTCCAAGAGGTTAATTTTCAGCACTCCTGTTGACTGCCCAGCTGTGAGGACATCCAGGGGCCTCACCAAAACCTTAGGAACAGACTCAGGTGTGGTACAAAAGGCATCATCATCATGAGCAGAACTGAGCTAAAAATCCCAATGGTGGGCTGGAGAGATGGCTCAGTGGTTAAGAGCACTGTCTGCTCTTCCAGAGGTCCTGAGTTCAATTCCCAGCAACCACATGGTGGCTCCAAACCATCTGTAAAGAGATCTGGTGCCCTCCTCTGGGGTGTGGAGGAGGCAGAAAGTTGTATACATAATAAATAAATCTTTAAAAAAAAAAAATCCCAATGGTTTCTTAGCAGAACCATGCCAAAACACAGGTACTACTTATTATATGAACATAACAAACAGAGGCAGTGACCCTGGAGGGTCACTCTCTCTACCTTTTCTTTTGGTCATTTTTCTCCAAAGATAGGCTTTCTCTGCTACCCTGGAACTCACTCTATAGAGCAGGCTCGCATCGAACTCAAAGAGATCCACCTGTTTCTGCCTCCTGAGTGCTGGAATGAAAGGCGCACTTTCCTACCCTGCCTACTTCTTGGCTTTTTGGAGACAGGGTCTCTCTATGTAGCCCTGGTTTTCCTGGAACTCAGTGTGAATTTCAAAAAGCAGAGATAAGATAAACTGTCTCTTAGTTCCCAGCTCACAACTGCCTGTAATTCCAACTCCTCTTTCTGGCCTCTAAAACCAACACACACACACACACAATAAAATAAATCTTTACAGGTGATAGTGATGGCAGCAGTGGGTATGCTTTTAATCTCAGTACTTGCCTTTTATCCCAGAACTTGGGAGGCAGACGCAGGCAAATCTGTGAGTTCAAGGCCAGCCTGGTGTCTACAGAAGAGTTCCAGCGTGGCCAGGACTACAAAAAAAATCTGCCTAAAAAAACAAAACAAACCATTCCTTTCATAATTAAAATGACACAATCCTTACAGTGCCATTCATGATCTATGTCAACTTAAGTCTATATAATAAAAATGACTTATGAAATCTTTAAAGTACCAGCAATAAAAATTAATTTTACATTTTAAGGTAAATTTTAATATATAGTTATGACATTAATACACAAAAATCTACTACCTGTCTATCCTCCTCTTTCAAAAAAGACCAGGGCTTTCAGCAGGGTGTTGGTGGCATATGCCTTCAATCTTACCACTTGGGAGGCAGAGGCAGGCAAATCTTTTGAGTTTAGGGCAGCCAGGGTTGTTACATAGAAAAACCCTGTCTCAAAACCAACTAACCAACCCAATCATCATTTAAAAATCAAGCTGTTGACATCTCCTCAGTCTGCTTAGAGACTTAATGATGAGGTTTGGCTCTGTATTTTTAAGTTCTTGATTTAAATTTAAAATATCTTTATCTATATCAAGATTTAAAGCAGTTAAAGACTGCTTAATGCTATGAAAAAAAATAATCAGAATTTAAAACTGGTAAGTTTCAAAAATCTTAAAACAAAACAAAACAAAAAAAAACAAAACAAAACCCACGTATCTTACATTGCTCACACAGCAGTGACCTGGCTTATAATCCCAGCTCCCCGCCCCTCCTTTTTTTTTATTTTGGTTTTTATCGAGACAGGGTTTCTCTGTAGCTTTGGAGCCTGTCCTGGAACTAGCTCTTGTAGATCAGGCTGGTCTCGAACTCACAGAGATCCGCCTGCCTCTGCCTCCCGAGTGCTGGGATTAAAGGCGTGCGCCACCATCGCCTGGCTCCCAGCTCCCTTTGAGTTCATAGTGTAACAGTTCACAACTCAAAAGCCCCAGCTTCAATTACCAACAAGCTAAACCTGGCCACATAGTAATGACAAAAAAAACAAAATTTAATCTGTGTCATCTTGGGGACTACCCAGGGAAAACTGTTCAAAAACCAAAAAGAAAAAAGTACAAACAAAAACCCAACAGGGAAAACTTCACCTAAACATCGAAGCCACACCTAAAGAAAACGGGGCTGAGATGACAGCTGCATCCAAAGCGTGTGTGTGTGATGATGGTCTCATGTATCTAATGTCCCCTAAATAAAGTGCTGAACACTTACCATCTGCCAAACTTGCATGATATTGTCTTCTGATACAGAACAAATCACCCAAGGTTCATTGGGATTCCAGGAGAAATCAGATATCTTGGCAGTGTGACCACCATGAATAAACTGGAAGAGGGACCAAAACCAAGACATTAAACACAGACATTAAATCATAGCCTACTGCTTAAAGCACAGAAGACTCCAAAGTGCCTGAAAGGTTATAACATACCAGCAACTCTGGTGGGCCATCTTCTGCATCTTCTGGGGACTGTTCTTCTCCAATTTTACTTAACAAAAAAGAATTTTAAGTCAGAAAACATCTCCCTGTGTGGTAGTTTGAATATAACTGGCCCCCATAAGCTCACAGGCACTATTAGGAGGTGTGGCTTGTTGGAAGTGTATCACTGTGGAGGTGTGCTTTGAGTCTCGTATATGCTCAAGCCACATCCAGTGTCTTAGCTCACTTTGTTGTCTGCACAAGATGTAGAACTCTCAGCCACTTCTCCAGACCATGTCTGCTGGCATACTGCCCTGTCACACCATGATAATGGACTAAACCTCTGAATTATAACCTACCCAATTAAACATTTTATAAGAGCTGCTGTGGTCATGGCTGCCTCTTTATAGAAAAAGAAAAACTAAGACAGCCTGAGCACCTATCTTTGAAAAATGTAAAGATGCTGGGTGGTGGTGGTGCACGCCTTTAATCCCAGCACCCATAGAGGCAAAAGCAGGCCGATCTCTGTGAGTTTGATCTACAGAGCAAGTTTCAGGACAGGCTCCAAAGCTATAGAGAAACCCTGACTCAAAAACAAAGAAAAATGTAAAGACAGTAACTTTGCCAGGCTCGGCACTCAGGAGGCAGAAAGAGGTGAAATTACTGAGTTTAAGGTCAGTCTGGTGCACAGTTCTAGGATAATCAGGACTACACAGGGAAACCCTGTCTCCCCAAAACAAACAACAAAAAACCAACCAAAACAAATCTGTAACTCCACGGATAGGGTAACTAACACAAAACTTACCTTAAATCCCACACATTCAACCTACGATCAGTACCGCTAGAAGCCAAAATAGTCTCATTGTGAGGTGACCACTGAACCTAAATCCAAGTGAAGAAAAATTCAACAAATTAGAAAACAGAATAT